CATCTATAAAAGAAGAGGGTTAATTTTGTCAACCTAGCCAGTCTGAGTCTTCACAGAAATTTTGTCTCCCGTTTGAGGTATATCTATCTACACAGTGGGACTTAAAACCAAAGATTGTTAGATACATAGGGTTTGGTTAAGATTCCAACAAAGGAGTTGGAGAGATGTCTCAGTGACTCAGAGCACTTCCTGCTCTTCTTGAGGACCCAGGTTTGATTTCCAGGACCCACACTAATTCAGGCACTGTGAGGGGGTGAGAGGCACAGTAAGGCCCCGGGTCTATTTGCTCAGATTTCATTTGGGGGCTAGCTCTCGCCACTCTTTCTTGACAGACTTCTGATACCTTTGAGTCCAGCTTTCCAGTATCAATGCTTGTTGTCTTGAGGGCTCATTTTCAAGACTGCAGGATGCTGTGTGTGAAGCTGCCAGTCCAAAGCCTAGTGCCAATGGCAGCTGGGGCTGCTGTCACTGTTCTTGCCAGGGTGCCTGGCCTCAGGTCTGGGTGCTGTGGCATCTTCTGTCTGTGCCCTTGGCAACTCGAAGCTTTCAAATAGCCCTCTGTGTTCAAGGTCACCTGTTTTATTTCCTGTGGGAAAATAATGAAGTTATCAACAGATAGAATATGGATGTATTTATGTCACCTGCAAGTTAAGCCTTGCCTTCCTTGTCCTTTTCCTGCACAGGAACTTCTTCTCTGAGACTGGGGAGGGGACCTCTCTATGAAAGTGTCAGGTGAGGAATTATAGCTTCCTAGCCCTCTGTCCTTACCCACCTCAGTCACCCAGGCCCACAGGGCCCTGCAGTGGACTGCTGTTCTCAGAGAGAGACACACACTGAATAATCAAGTCTTACTACAAAATACTGAAAAATTGCTCATTAATTTTATAACACGATTTTATTCTGGAACAATGACATTGTGTATACATTGAGGGTTTTTTTGTTGTTTGTGGTTTATAAAACGTATTTCTCTCAATGTATACACAATGCCATTGTTCCAGAATAAGATCATGCTGTAAATGTGAATGAAGAAGTGTGTACCAGAGAGAATTACCTAACAGAAACAAGCCACATTTGTGCTTTAAATTTTCTGTTAGGTAATTCTCTCTGGTACACACATCTTCATTCATGCTTCAAAACAATCATTTGGGGTGGACTGAAACACACTTATTTCACAGTTGATCAGACTGAGGCTTAGAGACAAAGTCACTTGTACAAAACTCAAAACTAGAGATAGACTCCTGGCTCCATAGGCTGTAAAGATCTTGTTGCTCATCTACTGCCTAAAAGCAATAAATGGATTTAATACTGTGCCAAATGTACTCTACATATATTTGACTTCTAGAATTGGGAGCTGAGGGATTGTCATAGCTGAGTCTATTACATCAGTTCTTTCTTTTTAACCCTCCCCCCATCACTATCATTGTTATATATCATGATCACCTGCTTGGGACACAGTTATGATAACACCCAGACCACTAGACTGGAACTCAGGAGACAAAAGTTTCAGACTCAGAGTTTCCCTGTGGCTATAACCCAGTCATCTCAGAATCTCCTCATGTGTGAAATGAAAGGCAAAGACTAAAAGACTCTCTTCTTTGTTATTTGGAAATCCATTGTCAAGGTCAGGATGGCCCAGAGACTGTTTGCAGGTTCATGTGAGCTTGGAGATGTTTTTCTTTCCTGTGAGTAAAAGACCAAGTAATTCTGGTTGTATCACCAGGAGTCTGAATTATCAAAGCACAAGAAACATAAGGCTACTGTATGCCTATATATTATACACATAAATGTGTTCATATAGTAACATGTATATTCTATGTTTACATATATAATATGCATAAATATACATGCACATATCTTTGATAAATCCATGGCATTTGTACAGCATATAGGTAGCTATAAATATATGTACTCTATATATTTGTACATGTGTGTCTATATACATATACCATATGTGTGTGTGTGTGTGTGTGTGTGTGTGTGTGTGTGTGTGTGTGTGTGTATGTATATCTTGTTCAATCTGTATAATGTCACTTGTATGTTTGTTTTCAGGGCTGACCAACTGGTATTGTATAACCAATTGGACTATTTTTTCCCACTCTTAGCACTCCAGACAAACTATATTTAGTGTCTTCTCTGCTGTCTGCTGGGAATTCCCAGTTAGGGAGAAGTCTCAGGTGTATGCTGTGCTGACCAAATTGCTTCAAGTTAAAGTGGAGAAAGCATGAGCAGACAGATAATACAGATGGTAGTTGTAGTCTGTCCATTTGTCACGTGAGTGCTGAATGCTGTGAATCATTGGTTGTTCCCAAGTCCTGAGTTCAAAGGCAGAACGCTATGAACATGACAGTAGTGCCACCACACAGGGCGAGGCACTCCAGCATGTCCGAGTTAGTGCCACCTATGCTTCACCTGGACTTCATTCTTCCAGCCTGACATTCTGTGTCCTCCACCCTCAAATGTGTAAAAAGTAGGTATAAATGGCTCATTGGCTTCACCCATTTGAATAGTGGAGAAGGAAATGAAATTTGGGTAAAGCTTCCTGAATCCTTTCACTGAGGAAAGCAGTCCTGTCACACTGAGGTCACCCCCTTCACAAAACCAACCCAACCCACACTGAGTAGTCACACCTCCCATGAACACCTTTCCCCCAAGGGCTTCCTCAGTGATCTCAAGTTCTGTCTTGCAATGTTACATGGTCCATAAGGCCATTTTTCTGTGTGATTGGCTCTCTCTAAAGGCTTCTGTCTGGTTCAGTGCTCAAGATTTTTGCTTTGTTTTATTTATACTTTTATTGTTATCCTTAGTAGTAGTAGTAGTAGTAGTAGTAGTAGTAGTAGTAGTAGTAGTAGTAGTAGCAGTTGTATTTTAGTTTTATTTCATGTGTATGAGTGCTTTATCTTCATGTATGTATGTATACCACTTGTGTGTCTGATGACTGTGGTGGTCAGAAGAGGGTATCAGTTCCCCTGGAAGTGGATTTATAGCCAGTAGTGAGGCATCATGTGTATACTGAATTGAAACTGGGTCCCTCTGGAAAAGCAGCAAGTACTTTTAACTGCCAAGCCATCCTCCAGTTCGGTGGTCATGTTTTCAACCTATGTTTTTCAGACTACATAACCTAGTGTCTGAGGGAAACAGATCAACTAGTATGGCCACTATTTTGGAAGTCCTAGATTTGCTCTTTGTCCATAAATTCTAGCAAGTAAACCATAAGCTTGATACAAAGAAGAGGAAAACATTTCCTGAGTGTAAAAACCCTACAATCCCCATGCTGGGACTTTTCCAACCATTTGGGGATGACCAACACAAATTGGTACCTCTACTTCTTTGTGGGAGAATGAAGAACATGGGTCCTTGTGTGTCCACTCTTCAGAGTGGCACCCATGGCTTGTCTTCTGCATGAGTCCCTGCATCTAGGCTAACAGTTAATGTCCTGGAAGAACTTTATCCCAACAAGTGATACAGTTCAGACAAGTGGTGAGAGGAAGTTTGTAAGCATAAAGGTCTTCATTTATAGCTTCTAATTTGGTTCCTGAGTTTTGAAATGAATTATGACATTTTTATGTCCTTACATAAGACCATCATCAATAAACTGGTGATGATTTTCTTTGGTAGCCTTGATTTTCTTTGTCACACTGTGTGGTTGTGGTGACAATGAACTCTGCCAGTTATGAGTCACTTTATAAGTAGTAAAACTTTGTGCCTAAGAAAGCTTTGTGCTCTTCTGGGTAATGTTGCCTTTCTAATACCATTAGGCACCCTTCAGTGTCTTCCTCTGTTATGAAGACTTTGCAATTGCTTGGGCAAATGAGTAAACATCTTTCCATATAATATAATCCTAACCAACCCCAACCTGTGTCAGTCAGTCATCCTGCTGCCTACTGCCCACAGTCAGTGCACACACATTGACCTTTGCCAAATTCAGCAAACCATCTCCAAACCCAGGGACTAAATCATAGCCATTGATTCTTGCTCATGAGCAAGGGTGGATGCCCTTCCTCCCATCAGACCTGTAGCTGACCAGATCTGCTCTTATTGCAAGAGGTAGCTTCAGATACGGATTCAGCATATTGTTATATCTGCCTTTGGTCAAACCCAAAGCTGCAAAGCATAGTGCCCATGATGAGGCAGCAGCCAGAGTCTGATGCTAGGTGAAGCATTCATTCATTCACATCTCCACATAGGCTTATCTACCCCATTGGAATAGAACCCCCTGGTGCCTCTGCCAAAGGCTGACAGGAGGGATATTTCTTAGATGCTTTCTGGAGTCTGAAGGATGTTTCTAGTCCTTTTCTTTATACGAGGGATTAGCAAACTATGGCTAATAGGGAAAGCCCTTTTTGGTACATCTATATGTCTGGTTAAACATATAGATTATTTCAAGAATAATAATTAATATTGAAGAGGTTTAGAAGATGGCCCTGCGGTTAAGAGCACATAATGCTCTTACAAAGGACCTGAGTTCACTTCCTAACACTCACTTCCAGATGGTTCACAACTAACTGCCTGTAACTTCAACCTGGAGGGAATCCTAGGCCTCTTGCCTCTGCTGCTACCTGCACTCATTCGAAAAGACCCGTAAATACATACACACACACACACACACACACACACACACACACACACACACACACCTAAAACTGAAATAAATCTTAAAACGGAGAGTAATACTTAATACCACATGATAATTATTTGGCATTCACACTTTTGTGTCCATAAACAAAGTTTTATTGAAACACAGCCACACCCCCGCTCTGTCTATTGTCTCTGGTTTCTTCAGATCTATAAAAGCAGTTGGAATTGGAGTTGCCATGGAAACCTTATGTCCCACAAAGCCTAAAATATTTACTCTCTAGCCCTTTACAGAAAATGTCTGCCACTCCTACTTTATAGAATAAAGAGAATTTGGGAAAGGTAAGGGCAGAGCTCACGACTATAGATGTTTGTTGGATTACTTCCATGTTTACTTGGAGTTAATAGTTTCTTCCTTTCCTTCCTAGTAATTGGCAACTGGAGACACTCATGTGCTAGTAATCAAGAGGCATCCCTGCCGCCACTTCATGATCCAGGGGCGTGTGGCCCTGTGAAGTTCCCGAGGTGTACAGCATGTCCTTGCTGCTCCTGGGTGCGGTGCTGCTGGTGGCCCAGCCCCAGCTAGTGCCTTCCCATCCAGCTGTTTCCGGCCCGGGTCCCAGGCAGCAAGAGCTTCTGCGGAAGGTGGGTACCCTCCTGGAGGACACTCAAGAAGGTGCAGCAGCCAATGGTTCCACACAGCAGCTCCCACAGACCATTATCATTGGGGTGCGCAAGGGTGGCACCCGGGCATTGCTGGAGATGCTCAGCCTGCACCCAGACGTGGCGGCAGCTGAGAACGAGGTCCATTTCTTTGACTGGGAGGAGCATTACAGCCAAGGCCTGGGCTGGTACCTCACCCAGATGCCTTTCTCCTCTCCGAACCAGCTCACCGTGGAGAAGACGCCGGCCTACTTCACTTCGCCCAAAGTGCCTGAGAGAATCCACAGCATGAACCCTGCCATCCGCCTGCTGCTCATCCTGAGGGACCCTTCAGAGCGAGTGCTGTCTGACTACACCCAGGTGTTGTACAACCACCTTCAGAAGCGCAAGCCCTACCCACCCATCGAGGACCTCCTGGTGCGGGACGGCCGGCTCAACATGGACTACAAGGCTCTCAACCGCAGCCTGTACCACGCACACATGCTGAACTGGCTGCGTTTCTTCCCACTGGGCCACATCCATATTGTGGATGGCGACCGCCTCATCAGAGACCCTTTCCCTGAGATCCAGAAGGTCGAAAGGTTCCTGAAGCTGTCACCGCAGATCAACGCCTCGAACTTCTACTTTAACAAAACCAAGGGCTTCTACTGCCTACGGGACAGCGGCAAGGACCGCTGCTTACATGAGTCCAAAGGCCGGGCGCACCCCCAAGTGGATCCCAAACTACTGGATAAACTACACGAATATTTTCATGAGCCAAATAAGAAATTCTTCGAGCTCGTGGGCAGAACATTCGACTGGCACTGATTTGCCTTCAGTTAGGCTCGGAACTTTTCCTGTTGTAACTTCTGGTGTACATCTGAGGGTGGGGGGGAAAGAAATTTTAAAAAGGCATTTAAGCTATAATTTATTTGTAAAACCCACAAATGACTTCTGTACAGTATTAGATTCACAGTTGCCATATATAGTAGTTATATTTTTCTACTTGTTAAACGGAGGGCGTTTTGTATTGTTTTTCATGGTTGTTAACATTGTGTATATGTCTCTATAATATGAAGGAACTTAACTATTGCACTGAAAAAAAAACCGATTTTTCTGGAGACGTCTTTTTTTTTTTAAATATAATTAACTTGCCTCCAATTCAAATAGCTCTCTGTTTGCACCCTCCTTGTCAAATCTATATTCTTTTTCTGCTTAAAAATTTTTTATTGGCACTATGGACTTCTATTCTTTCTGAATTTGTTCTTTTAATTTTTAATGTCTCCCTGTGGTGATCAGATTAAGTTTTTACGTGCACTTTAAATTTCCTCTTCACGGTGAGTCACTATTATTTTTGGAAGTGGCAGTTCTATCCATGCATACATGTTTAACCCCTGTAGCCTGTATATGGATTCAACCCCTGTAGCCTGCATAGGGTTTTAACCCCTGTAGCCTGCATAGGGGTTTAACTTCTATAGACTGCATATGGGTTTAACCCCTGTTAGCCTGCCTGTAGGTTTAATCTTTGCGAGCCTGCATGTAGATTTAACTCATATAAATTTCAAGGGCAGAAAACAGTGCTGAGGAAGGACCCCCAGATAGTAACTGGCAAGAGGTTCCCTAAGATTCACTTTTGTCTCAGAGGATATCTGCATATACCTCTGATCTCAGCAATGGGAATGGGCAAAACCCGTAATAAACAAGATTACACCCTTGGATTTCAGAATGATCTTGGGGCTGTAAACTCTGCCTTTTGGAGCAACTGACCTCTGAAAAGCTACTTAGCAGACAGAAGGAAACATGCAAGGTCTCTTTGTGTCTGTCCATTCTGTAACTTTCATGAGGAGCAGGAGTGAGCCTTTTCTCACTCTGGAATTTGTTTCCTGAAAGATCAGTATGCACTTATGATCCTCTATTTTATACCCATAGACATATAAACATATATGCTTCAAAATAAGCTCCAACTTTAAAGTCCTGGAGAGAAAAGAAAATTAAAACTCCAGGGTTGAAGTTAAGACATGAAAAAGTCACAACACAAAGCCTGTGCGTGCGCCTGCACACTTAAGTGGGAGTTTCACTTCTAGAACAGCCACTTAGCAGAGACTGGTCACAAAAGCCAGTTCTAAGCTCCTGGATTGGCACGCATCCCTGTCAATCAGCCTTTTACAATTAGACAGACTAGACGATTTCCATTAGAAAGTATCATGTTATTACAGTAGGAGAGAACAGCAGTACAAAACCATTTCCTGACAGTTTGTTAGGAAGAAGTGAAACACAAATAGGCATCACTGAGTGTCTTCTCTATCCAAGAACTCTCTGAACCTACCTCCAAGCAAACTCAAGATGGAGGGGTTACTCTGACAAGTTCAGAGAACAGAGAATAGGCCCCTAAGCACGAGGGACTTGCTGAAGGTCACACTGTCAGGCTTAGAGCCCAGTGGTAGCCAATGCATGAGTAACCTGTTCCCCATTTATTTCCCTCTACCCTGCTCTATCTGGACTCTAAAGAAATCACTCAAACTCAGAGGCAATGTTTTCCTGACTTGACCTGACATGTCTTTCCTGGTGCCGAAAGTCTTCCGCCCTAAGAGTTGTGTTTGAGCTAGAGGAAGAGCAAAGGGGAAACAAAATTTTTCTCAGCAGTCTTCTGAGGGAAATGAATCACCTTGGTTGTTTTGGCAGTCCCTGCCTGACTGACCTTAGTCTGGCCCACACCCCATTCCTGGCGAGGCCCTGACAGCAAAGAGGATGCCCTCCCCTGCAGAACCCATTAGGGTTGTCATTCAACCACTGTCTCCCCAGAAAGAGGAACAGGACTGTTTATAGCAGATTTCTGTAGACTTTGTGATATGCAGGGTGCTTCCCTCTGCAACAGCATATCTGTGGGTCTTTTATGCCATTTAACCTGAAGAATGAGAAGACCCAGAAAGGTTACATCCGTTTTCCAAAGCTGACCAGGAATGTGCTGGCTGAAAGAAAGCTCCAATGGGAATCCCTGGTGCCCAAAAAGATGCCCAGGTGGAGAGAGTATGGTTGGAGCCTGGTTTCTTGCAACCAGTGGCGCTGGTTAGGAATGAAGAAAGTCAGAACTGGCACCAGGGGTAAGCTCCAGCTGTTAGAACTGGCATGGCTAATGGCATGGGGTAACACAGTATAAGTGATTGGCAGATGTACATTCAATTAATTGCTTTACTGGGGGCACAGAGTATTGATTTGGGGAATCGTATTCCTGCATATCAAGGAAGATACCAGGAGTTCCAATGACAGCCTATATTCATTCTTTTTTTTTTTTTTTTTTTTTAAATCTATAAAACTCCAGTCGGTCATCAGTACGTTCTAAGGAGCAAAAAACCATCACTTCCTACTTTGCCCCAGGTATTTCAACTCATCCAAGCCCTGTTACTTTCAGAGGATGCTGCAATGGACCCATGGTCATTCTTGTCAAAATGCATCGAGGCAGGAATCAAATGGTATTTGGTTCTTTCTAACCATGCTGAATGACAATCCTGTTAACAAAGACGGTATCCTGATGGGAGGTGTAGGTTCCTACCCCAGCCAGGTCACAACCACCTGAGAGTTCTAGAGAAGCAGCTGAAATTTGCTGAGCCAAGCACCACCTCTGGGGTTGAACTCACACCTCATTTGTTGTTCCAGAGTAAGAATAGCACCGATTTTCCTTCCTCCAGGAATCAGGCAGTGTTCAAATCCTCTTAATATTATGTGACTATTAGTTAAAAGCCTGGAAATTGGTTAATTTAGGAAAAACCATGAGAGGCCTCTGAACTCAGGCTGCCTTGCTCTTTCTACCCTCAGCAGAAGATACATGAAGGGTAGAAGAGGCCAGTGCCCATCATGTCTGTTGCTTAGAGATGTGGAGACAAAGGTCATTATATTCATTAGAATGACCTTTTTTTTGAGTTCCTATTATGTAGTAAGTGTGGTGCTAATTCTTCAAGAATATAAAATGAAAAGCCACAGGAAATAATAGTCATGAACTGTATAGGGTATTAATAAGAAGCAAAGAAGTGAGGCCAGGTGGTGGTGGCGCACGCCTTTAATCCCAGCACTCGGGAGGCAGAGCCAGGCGGATCTCTGTGAGTTCAAGGCTAGCCTGGACTACCAAGTGAGTTCCAGGAAAGGCGCAAAGCTACACAGAGAAACCCTGTCTCGAAAAACCAAATTAAAAAAAAAAAAAAAAGAAGCAAAGAAGTGCTAAGAAGGCAAGAGAAGTGGCCTTGAGTTGTGTACAGGCTGGACAGGACAATATGTTCCATAGTTTGGCATCAATTCAGCCACATCCCCAGAAGGAGTCAACTAGCCCATATTAAGAGGATGAGTGAAGAATGAAAATGAGGTATGAAGTTTTCCTGATTGCCAATCCTTTGCTTTATTTTTTTCTTAGAAGAAAGAAAGGAATATTACCTAAAGGTTGCACTAGAGCTATGATCAAAGCCACTTAACTCAAGGGTCACCAAGACCTGGCTCTTTTATAGGCAGGCTTTGTGGAGGAATTGCCCTGGAGCCAGAAAATGGAAGTCATTGATGTTACCAAAGGGAAACATCCTGCATAAGGACATGTCTTGAATCAGCAAGTGGTGATGAGGAATCGAAAGGAGGTAGGAGAAGCACAGGAAAAGTCTTGTCTAACAAGTGTGTAGCTTGGATTAAACACATTAAACAACAAAGATGTATCAGCCACTTATAGCCTTGGAAGACGGTTTCCAAGATGAACGTGCTGAAAGACTCACAGCCCTCCACATGTCTGACTCCTGTGCAAGTTTATTGATTACATAAGAATAACCATCATTATTACATACCCACTATCTGCTTGGTATCTTAAATACATTGATTCAAACCTATATACAAACTCTGAGAGATAGGAAACAGTGCCTTGGTTCACAAAAGAAGAAACTCAAGATCAGAAATTAAAGGGTTTTTCTGTGATGACAAAGAAAGTCATTTATTTCATTTGCAAGTTTTTTCTAGTGTCTTGAATCTGGCCAATTTCCATCCATCCCATCGTGAGTAAAGGGAAGAAGTAACCCATAGATCTCTATCAAGAGGCAACATATAACACAGAGGTTATAGGGTATGAGGTTGGACACAGGAGGATCTTGGAAAGTCACCTCCCATAGAATTACATATGTAGGATGTCCTAAGGTGTGTTGCAACTGGCAGAGGTTAAAAGAAAAAAAATATCACTGAGCATGAGATAAAGGTCTGACCAAGTATCCCCCAATGGCATTGAATAAGCAGAGGACCCATAGCCCATCATCTCATTCAGTTGCTTGATTGAAGTACACTCACATATGAAGTAGCCCTGGATCTTCAGACCACGCTTGTGTCAAGGTAGCTCCATTTTCCTCAAATTTTACAGTTAGGTAAAAAGAAAGAAAAAGCAATTATAGTCAGGAGACCTGGGTATAAATCCAATTTTGGCCATGTGGCCTTCAGCTCAAATTCTCAGAGCCTTAATTTTCTTTTTTTTTTTTTCTTGGTAAAAATGGGCTGATACTTCACTCAGTTTTGGGGAAAAGTCAATGAGATGACAATGAAATGAACTGCCAAGCCCATCAAGTTGGTGCACACATATGGCTTAACTGTGAACAGGGTTTAGGGATTTAGGAGACAGACAGGAACTGATTTTAAAATAGCCAGCAAAACCTCACTGTCTTTGTTCACTCACCCAGTGCCCAGCTATGTGACTATAGGTGTTGCTGTTAGTGGCCCAGGCAGATCCTATTTTCTAAAACTTCTCCGTCTTCCATCTCCCATAAAGGCGGACTGCTAACAGCTATACAAAAATGTGTTCCTGAAGTTTTATATTAGCAATAGTCATGTCACCTAGAGATGGCTGCACCCCCTTTCTGCTGGGAGCAAGTCACTAATGTTTGACTGATGTGGTGAGGAGGTGGGGGGACTAGATGGTGAGGGGAACTGCTCAGCTTCTTTGCCTCTGCACAGGTGACTTTGTAGTACAATGTCTGTTCATAGTTCCTCCTGAAATCAGCCTAGATCCAGACTTCTAAAAAAATATGCTTGTTTGTTTCTCCCCATACTTTTCTGCTCCCCTTATTGTGGTCATTTTTTGTCACCCTATCATCAGTAAATGAATCCCAGCTCAACTTTTGCTTCTAAGACACCTAGCATCAGAGAGTTAAACATGCATTTATGTCTCGTTCTATGTGTATAACATAGTTAATGCAACCAACCTATAGACATCATTTTTTTCCAGTTAAATA